CTTAAAGTTCACATCCTAAGCTTTAAATGACGTGATAAATCACCTCATTTGGAGTTTCATACGAAAAGTTATGGATTTTTAAAGTTATGGTAAAATGTTAAAAATTAAAATATTGACCAAATGAACAATACTTTTTTAGAACAAAATAGAGCTCGAATTGAATGAGTATTGGATTGGTGCCTATTTTTTTTATCTAAAGAACTGAAAGAATTTCAAATAAAACTTGAAACCACCTCATTTTGATTTTTCTAAAATTAATTATAAATTTTTAAAGTTAGCTAAAATTTTACAGTTACCAAGTGAATAATAACTCAAGAAAATGATATCTCAAAGCATGGTTTCCTAAGCTTAATGGCATGCAATATGGTGCTATTTGACATGTTTTGACTCTATATATAATTGTAAGTTAAAATATTACATTTATTAGGTTTCTAGTTTTAAGATCACTTATCTTTTTTTTAATTCTTATTATTTTATTTCTTAGTTATTTTCGTTACTCATCACTTAATTTGTAATTTCTGAATTTTTTTAAGACAGGTTCCAGAATACATCGTGGGAGAGATTGAGGGCTTGATGGGATGTTAGTGGGAAATGCACGCGAACTAGTATAAGGGGTCGCAGGTCGCTCAATGAAGAAAGCACTACTGAACCTCGTGGCTGGGATCGTGCCTTTCACGTCACCACCCGCGAGTATATCATGCAGGACTTGCATAGAGATGCCATGTGCAATAGCTGTTTAGGCTAGTTTGTTTTTGAGCTTGATTCCACCCAAAAAAGAGTATTGATTTTCACTTACCTTTTTAAATAATATAGAAGTTACAGGGCTCATTATGAATCATAGATTATAATATTAGAAATTAATAAATTATGTGAAGTCTTTCTTTTTTTTTTTTTTATAACTCAGGGGCCTATTATATTTTTATAGACGATTCAAACTCACGACAAAAAAAATTAAGAAACCGTTTGTGTTATTGAATTATAAGGTCCGATAAATAGAAGAAACTAATTTGAATGATGGTTAAATTCGTCAAGAAATATATAATTATGCTAAATTCTACAAAGAATGCTCCGTGCAAGTCGCATTTGTTGACCAAATGATTGCATTGTTATATCTATTCAACTTATTTTGGAGTTAATTGGAGGTCCATCGTTCCTAGTCGTTTGGGTATTTAATTTTGTGATATCCTTTGATTTGATGAGGACTTGTCCATTTGCTATGATCGACACCTCATAAAAATGTGGATTTCGTTTTAACACAAGGGCCATGTTGTTTTACAAATCCCTAGTTGAATTTCTTACGTTGGTGTGATCTTAAATGTAAGAGTTAATTAAAGAATGAGTTTTCTTTTTTTACCAAAAACTTAGAGAGCGAAAGACTTTAATTTAACTCTTGTATTAATCATTTTTTCAAGTTAATTTATTTAACTTATAAACTGATATATAACTTAATCTTCTGTCAAGTTATTTTAGGGAACCATCTTACATTTGTTAGAGTTAATTATTTCTTTAACCTTCTTAAACTACCCAAATTAATTAAGAACTGTCTCTAATCCTTAATATAAAAGTTAGATAACTAATTTATGAATATTGAAAAAATTAGTTAAGTTAATTATTTGTAATAACTAAGTTATCTTCTTTAAAATATTCTTATTAATCATGCATATTTAAATTATTCTTTGATAGAAACTCTTTAATATATATAATTACTATACAAATTTTTTGAGGGCAAAATGGATAAAATATTGACAAAAGGGCTTAGGATTATGTATTTAGGACTAAATAGAATATTTAACTAGTTCTTATATTAATGATTAGAGGTGGTAACTTTTATATTAAGGATTTTGGGAGTACAAGTAATACAATGTACTACTTCGTTTCCCAATATAAGACCTAGTTTCACGTTCAATTTGATTCTAAATATAAAATCAAATTTACTTTGTCTCTCATATTTATTCATTTTTTTCAAACTACCGTTATTTATATTCTATTAACTATAATTAAATACTACCACAATAATTCAAGTAGATATTACACATAGCAAAATTCTACTTTCTCCGCTCTTCTCACTTCTCTGCAAATTTAATAATTAATAATCTAACGAACTTTCATTTGTTCGGCTGGGATGGTAGGAAGTTTTTTTGGTTCATATTAATAACGCTATGAAGATGTTTTGAAACAGACCATGCAATAGCTCGAAGCAGGACACGTGACGGAATAAGTGTACACACTCTCATGTATCGACATCGCGTCCGTATATTAATAACGCTATGAACTAACTATACGCCACGCTCGAAGTAGAAATACAAGCTGACCCGGCTTTTAAGGGCCAATAGGTTTAAAAGGACCAACTGTATAAGGCTAAAATTTTAAAAATATTTCAATTTGTTACATCTGGCCTTCAAACTAACAATTTAGGACCAACCCACGAGCCTTAGGCTTGTTTTAAAAAAAATATTATTTTTCATTTTTCATATTTTTTAATCAAAAAATAAAAATAAACTAATAAAATTATTAATAAAAGACATAAATATAAATTAAATTAAATTACAAATACAAAATGTTATCATATCTAAATATCTATCAACAGTCAAGAACATAAAAAAATCCATCAATAAGACAACAACATTTAAAAGTTTCATTAATAGTACAAATGTGGAATAGACAAATATTATTATTAATTTTTTGAAGCTTCATTATCACTATACTCAATTGCTCTTCTTTCGTAGTAAAAATATTAAGTTTTTCTTCTTTATAGGAACTCCACTTTTAAATTTTACAGTCTAGATATTAGTTTACTTTAATTTGAGAAGTATTGTTGTTGAAACTCATAAATTTCTAATTCAAATTATAGAATCACAAGTTATATAAGTATAAAAATACTCTTTTATCAAATATATATAATTTAAAAATATCAACACATATAATATAAATCAAATCATTATTAAAGTCCAAATTAACTCATGTTTTAAAATTTAATTGGATAAATTATTGTCTAAAATCAAATAAATCAGCCATTATGTGGCATTTAATTTCAAAATGATAATAATAACTAAATATTCAAAATATCATTAATAATGTAGGAAAACTAATTATATTAGAATTACACAAAAAAAATTTAAAAACAAAAAATAAAAAAATAAAATGGCCTAAATGGGCCGGCTAGTTTAATTTCTCAGTTTTGTAGGGCTAGTCCTTTTAAATCTGTTTTCTATTTGAAGAGGAAAATTCCAAACCCAGTCCTCACAATTTCAAGCTTAAACAGGCTAGCCCTGCGGGCTATGCCCGTTTTCTTAGCTCTACATGATGTCAGCTTTTGATTAGGTATTAAATTTTTAAAAGTTTTATATAAGGGTATTTTTGGAGAGTATCACGTGACATTTATTATTTTTTTGGCCTTAAATGTGAGCCTCATTTTGTAATATAAATTACATGACAAATTAGATCTTACATTTAGAGCCGGAGGAAGTATCATTATGCAACTTAATTAAAATTTTTAATTTCTCCAAATTAGTCAATTAAGTCTTATATTAAACACTGGTGGTAGTATTTTTTTTTTTGTTTTGAAATGTGAAATTCAATTTTGTTTGAAGGAATCAAGTTCCGCCTAACCAATTCAATTATTACTAATTGTGAAATTAATTTTAATGTTAATAAATTTACAAAACTCAATTGTTTTTTTAATTGATAGATTATTTTCATCAAAATTATGGCATAATCTTTCCTGAAAAAATTATGTCACAATTCAACCTTAAGGAAAATACAAAACTTTACGATGTCACTTTTCTATGCACGGAAAATTAAAAATTAATAATTACGAAACGATTTTTTTTACCGCACAAATTATGAAACCATTCAAATATTCATACGTACACTAATAATAATTGGGTTAAATGATAAAAAAACTTAATTTTTCTCGGGCAATTTTTTTATTTCAAACCTTATTAAAAAAAAAAAGAAAGAACTTCTTCGGATAAAGAATATAATTTTTATTAAAAGTAAAATAAAATGATACAGACATTGGGTGGGCTTCCAGTTCAGCTTGAATCAAAAGTAGTTTGCCCACTTGATGCTTTGCTTAGAAACCACACATCAATTTCCCTAGTCAAGACATACAACTCCCGCAATTTTATAATAAAAACATCTACAAAAGTTTGGTCTTCTTATAAAATAAGACAATAATAAAAATACTATAATTAAAATATCTTTTAAAAATAGAGAATTTAGAGAAGAATAATTATGAAAACATAATTTTAATTCTGAAGATATTAAAAATTTTAATTCTGAAGATATTAAAATATTTTAAATTTAGTTAACAGAAATAATTTTCTTATCAAAAAATGAGAGGGCATTTACGCACATATTTGTGTCTTTACTAAAAAGTACTAGTATTAAGAACCGCAGAACATAATTGAACATAATTTCGCGACTAAATCCGCTGCTCACTGCCAGCCATTTTTTTCCTTATATTTTTTTAATGGTTTTTCGTTTTTACTTATTAAAATCACGTAGTTGTGCACCACTTGAAGCACAACTTGATCGGCATTTTGTGAAGTTTATCCATAAGGATAAAGGCATCGCCTCTAAAAACCTAAAAAAAAAAAAATATATCAACTTACATTATCCTCTCGGGCGTTTGATTGGCCCCACTTTCTAGCTTACGTGTTCATTAGTGCTACCAGATTCTTACACGTGTTCGCCCACCCAATCACCACAGTTCCCGTATCCACAAGTCACGACAAAATTAGACTGAGAAGGTTCACGAACCGGGTCCCACGTGTTATCCATATCTACAGCACGTGATGCCACGTGACATGAACCAGTCTCCGTTCGTTACTGTACAAAGCAACGCGCTTCATCGCAGTTATTATTCCCATCTATACCCTCAGTAAACGACAAAATAGCAACCAAAGGAACGGTAGTTTAGTCATTTCATTGTACCGTTTGCGTACCCTTTTAAAACTCGTCGTCGTTTTCGCTATGAGCACGTGGTATTTGCGCTTCGAGATTGAGGGAGATATCGGCTTTTGTTTGGTTTCTTCGTTCTTAGCCGAAGCGCCCGCCATTTTCACAGTGTTGTTGTACAAGAAAGGAAGCTTGTTGTTGTGAATTTGAAGGGTTATCGCTTTTTCGATAGATATAGATTCTGGGACTTGAAGCTCCATGGTTCAGTTAATGAGATCGGAGGCTCACTGCCTCAAAAAGGTCAAGTTGGAGGTTGACGATTCTGGTGATGATGAATTCCGCATTCTTCGCAAGCGACCTAAATTGAACTCCTCTCACGAGGTTTTATCCTTTTCTGGTCCTCGTTTCTTATTCTCAATCTCCTCCCTTCTGTGTAGCTAGTCAAGTGGTTGGTTGAATTTATATTGCTATTTATCTTTATCTGAATCTGAATCCGCCATAAAAGTGCTGGGTAGTTTTGGTTTCGTTGACAGCTTCGTTATTTGGTTCCTAACTTTCATCCTTACACGGTCCAGCTCCTGAAACATTCGGTAAAAACAGGGCGGAAAAAAAAAAAAAAAGATAAATTATTTGTACGTTTCTGGTGAAGAGTGAAAAAAAACTCCCCGATCGTGTATGGACAAAATGTAAATTTAATCTGAATTTCTCCTTCCTCGTTGTTTTTTTCCCTCTTTTCGAAGGCATTTCTATTGCTTTCTTTGCGAGATATTTATGAATTTGGATTCTTCGGCTTTGTTTGGTGCTTGTTTGCTATATAGTTAATTCATTTATTCGTTTTCCCCCCGGAACAGTGGAGTTGTGGTGATAATCCTATTTCAATCCCGCCGGCGTCTTACAATCCCCTTGATGAGCCTAGCCCGTTGGGGCTGCGTCTTAAAAAGAGCCCATCTCTTCTGGATTTAATTCAGATGAGACTCTCACAAGAAGATAATACCAAATTAGCGACAGCCGACAAGAAAGACCACAAGGGTGCAAAAGCTTCTGTCGCCCCCGATGGTAAACTCAAGGCCTCGAATTTCCCTGCTTCCATTTTGAAAATTGGGACTTGGGAGGTGAGATTACAACTAAAACAAAGAAAATTATTGACATAAAATAGTAATGCCGGCATATATGCAGTGATAGACGGTTATTTTAATTTTTTTCCCAATGGTTTGCAGTATAAGTCAAGATATGAAGGAGATTTGGTGGCGAAGTGTTACTTTGCAAAGCATAAACTTGTGTGGGAAGTTCTTGATGGCTGTCTTAAGAATAAGATTGAAATCCCGTGGTCTGATATCATGGCTCTTAAGGCAAACTACCCTGATGACGGACCAGGAACCCTTGAAGTTGTGGCAAGTGTCCTCTGTGTTTTGATCTTTGTATCATTGTTACTGCATTGAGCATCACTAGTAAGCACCATGTTAAGTTCATTTTCTTCTTCCCTCCAGCTGGCTCGAAGACCCTTATTTTTTAGGGAGATCAATCCACAACCAAGGAAGCATACCTTGTGGCAGGCGACATCAGACTTTACTGGCGGACAAGCAAGCATACAGAGGTATGCACTGTGTTCTCTTAACACACGAGTCTTGGTGATGCATATATTCAATGAAATATCTTGACCCTGTAATTGTAGGATGGTGATTCTCACTGTCTGATTAAGGATACTTCAAGTGCGTTGGTTTTCAGAATAGCTGAGATGCTTAGCATGTTGACTAGACAAAACTGAAATAACGGCAAATATGTTGATGAGAACTATTGATTAAGTTCTTCATAAATGATATCAAATTATAATGTTTTGAATCTGTGATTTTATTTCTTAATTCTTTTGTAGTTTTTCCGGCCTTAAATATATTTCGTGTTTATGTAATACTATTACTATTCATATCTTCAAAAATAGACAATTCTCGCCTGAAGTTTAGAGTCTATTATAAGCTGCTACACTAATTGACCAGTGCTAGGGAAGTGCTGAATGCGAACTCAGTGGTCAGACTGTGTCTTTGATATCTCTAATTTTATGAAACTGGCCGTAAATTAAATGGTAATGCTATATTCCCAGGGTTGATTTTGATGACCTCTTATTAATGTTGCAATTGAAATTGCCTCTTAAGGATTTCCTAGTCTATAGAGAGAATTCAGGGAGTATTAAGAGATTTATGTGTAACCTACCCGATGTTGGAGTGGTCTCTTATCATTTAACCATTAACGTCCCTGCGTGAATTTGAACGATGACTCCTAATGTTTGTCCTCTTCATTGTTGTAGACGGCATTTTCTGCAGTGCCCACAAGGACTATTAGGAAAGCATTTTGAGAAGCTAATCCAGTGTGATCCACGCCTAAACTTCTTAAGCCAACAACCTGATATAGTTTTGGATTCTCCTTATTTTGAATCCAAAACTGCAATTAATGATCAACTTGAATCAACTGCTTCCTTGGATAGAATAGGCAAAGGGCAAGCTGGTTTGTTTGAGTTGCAGGATGTGGAATCAGCATCTGCAGTTCAATCATCTTCCTCGAAAAGTGAACACAATCTTGTCGGCAAAGCTTTTGAAAATGTTTTCCAGGAAATCACTTATCCTCCTAGCTCAGGTACAATTTTGCATTTATTTTGGGAACAAATTTGGTTTTTTGAAGCAACATCCATGGTTTTGTGTTTAACTTGGAGAAATTTTCACTGACATAATGTTGGCAAAATGCTGAAGAGTTGGTGAGGCTAAACGATGTACAGTCTGTAATTTTATTGATATGTTCACTTTCTGGTTGAACTGCCAAGTGACATCTTACTGCTTAGTCTTATGTCTAATTGGTCAGGCTATTAGCTCTTGGGTGCAATTGTTCACAGTGCTCACATACATGCAACTTTAGCCACATCATTTTCTCGCTATCATCTCTGACTAAATTGAGTGTGTTGTTTATCCTTACGCAGTCACGGAGCCCCATAGAATCAAACAGCCAAGGAATAGAGAATTTGACGCTTTGAAGTTTCTTAACAATTTGGATCAGATCAAAGTGCCTGGACTTCACCCATCAATGTCAATGAACGATATAGTAAACCACATTGGAAATTGCATTTCAGAACAGATGACATCTGGCAATCCAGCATTTTCCAGTGACAATGAGCAAAGCAAACTAATCCTGGAGGAAATTACCCAATACTTGCTTAACGACTCTCTAGTTACTGCAGCCTCGGATGAACAGTTTCTCATGTCAAGGGTTAATTCATTGTGCTGCCTTCTGCAGAAGGATCCTGCAACAACACAGGACACCAGTGTGAGAACTGATAATTCTGATGGTAGCGGAAAAGTAGGTGAAAAGACCAACTTGGATCTAGAGTTATCATGCAGAAGTACGGTTGTCGAATCTGGGGATGATGATGCTTCTGGCAGCAAGCAGGTTAGTGGCAGTGGCATGCGCAGGAAGGAATCAGTAGGGGAGCTACTGCTTAATCTTCCAAGGATAGCTTCTTTGCCACAGTTTCTTCTCCCCATGGCAGATGATTCTGTTAACCAAGTTAGGTAATGGTCTGAATCTGATCCCATAGTTGGAAGCATCAGTAAGATGTGGTGTGTGAGAGTGAATTTCTATGTTTGCTGTTTGCCTGTTTCTATCTCAACTTCAAACCCAGAGATTCAGAGATTGACATTGATGAAGAATCCTGGCAAAATGTAGTACTTAGCAGTTGTAGGCTTACCGGACTAGTGTGTATAACGTATGTATATGTTTGTGTCTGGAATGTTAAAGTCCCCGTGACAGCTTTCGCCAAGTTTACAGATATGTACATTCCGTAAGTGGCAATTCTTAGGATCGTTTTATTTTCATTTCAGTTGTCAAGTAATAGTTGGGTGAAGTTCAAATTCATAGTGATGACAGTAAATCCCCTATTGAGGATTAAGCCTGGTTGCGAATCACAGTCACGATTTCAGACATGGTTTTAGTAGTTTTTCTTCTGTTGTTTAATAATAAAATAGTTATATTGTAATTTATCTTTTTTATTTGAGTTAATGTAATTTTTGACCTCTAAAATTTGAGTTTATTTTGTTTTTAGTTCTTCAAATTAGTTTCTAGAATTTAGTTCATATTAAAATATTAGTTCTTAAAACTGTAAAAGTGTTAAAATTTGCTAAAGTGTCATTAATGGCTTTAAATGGTGATGTGAACTTGCTACATGACATATAACTATATTTTGTGTGAATAATTGAATATAATGCAGTGAAAAGCTCCTAATACGGACAGTAATGAAGAATAAACAGGCGGTTAAACAACTGTGTTTTAGGATTCTTTTTTTTTTTGGCCCAAAAAAGAGAATTTTTTTAATTTTTCTTTTTATGTTATCTACGCAAATTCTAATTAGATGCTATCTGGTGAATTCATATGTCATTTTGATACAGTTTGCAACATTGTTACAGAGTTGGAGACTTATATTTTAATACAAATTGAATTTTATGGACTAAAATTATATGTTTGAAATTTGAAGGATCTAAATAAAACAAAACTCAAATTTTAGGATTAAAAATTATATTAACTTTCTTTTTGTAATAAAAATCAACAGTTTGTACGATACTTGTTAACAAAAATCTTAGACATTATTCATTATAATTTTAACAATATATATATATCTTAAAAAGATTATCATATTAGCTTCACTTATGATCTCTATTAGTTATGCTGCCTGGATGGATTTACTTTGTCCAAACAAAAATACAATACCGAAAAGGAAAACAATTTTTCATCATGTGCCTGGTGACAGAAGAATACAGTCGCATGTTCATCAGCATCACAAAACAAAAGATGTTACAGTGGTTTAAGAGGACATTCACAGCTGCTCTCAGCTTTTTACCATCCCGCACGAGGGTATTGTATATCTTCAATTGTAGCCAGTTTTTCAGCATCACATGCACAACTAAAGATGCTAGAACGGGTTGGCCCGGACTCCAGACTGCATCCTGATAGGCTTCCATTTGGCCAGCCCACTCTACTAGGGACTGGTTGGAGAGCTGACCCGCGAATTTTCATCTTTTTATTTTATTTTATTTTTACATATATATTTAAAATTTTTAAAACTAAATTATAAATTTTTTATAGACCAAATTATTCTTATTCTTTTATTTTCATACAATTATATAATTAAATTAACTTTAGAAGTTGAAATATAAACATATAATTCATTATTGATAATTATTTTATCAGTATAAAAATGGTCAAACACTAAAAAAATAAGAAATCAAATTTAGAATCAAAGTCTCTAACAAAATACAAAATTATATGTAAATTAAGTAAAAATGAAAACTTTTTCTTATTAAAATTAAAATAAAAATTGTAAAAACATTTTTAAAAAAGGGCTGGCGAGATAGCTTGGGGTGGCCTGAGAGTTGGTGGATGCAGGTTGAAAAGGACAGCATCAAAATGATCCCTATTTTCTTCAACCCAACCTGCCACTCAACCAGGAATATGGGTTGGGGCCTTTCAGCCAGCCCACCAACTTGTCATAAAGAAGCGGGTTAAGGTTGGCATTTTGCCAGCCCGCACCTGCCACTTTTTTTTTAAAAAAAATTTCATACAAATAATATATTATTATATTTGAAAATTTTCTTCTCTCATTTACATTTCAATTTTCATGTTACATATCTAAACAAAAAATATTAAAAAAAGCATACTATATGTATAACAAAAATTGAACGACTACAATCAAATATAAGACCATATTTATTACAAAAAATGTGTTTCAGAAAAACATTGTGAATGAACTCTAAAAAGAATAGATAGATGCACTTCTAATTTATTAAAAGATAGTTTTTTTGCATCAAACATGGTATTTGTATGAAAAAATTGTAAATTTTATCAGTTGATGAGTTGATGTTGAATGTTAATCGTGTAAAATATTTGCAATGTATTATTTTATATTTGTATTGACTATTTTAAGTGTGGTTAAATATAATTTGTACTTGTAATTGCTTTTGAAATTTTGGATCACCATTTATTAATTTGGAAAACTAAATAAAAAATAAGGTTTAAAAATTGAGAATTAAAAAAAAAAAAAGATGGTCGATTGGCGGACTGGCTAGCCAACCTACTATGAAGGGTTAGGGTTGGCATTTTTCGAGCCCATCAAAACGAGGGTTACTTCAACCCACACTGCATATTCACGAGTTGGCTCGTATTCCCAGCTGTACAACCACTTTTTGGTGGCGTGCTTAACTCATATTATTTGCTCTATGCACATCCTTGGATCAAAGCCCAGAAAGTCATGGTTGCTTCGATGTAAACTTTCATGTAGAACATCCACTTAAGGCCTGTTTGACAAATGGCCAAAACCATAGTTTGAGTCAAAAATTTGCCAAACAAAAGGGGAGAATAAGCAAACCACAATTTTGGGCTCAAAACTATGGTTTCAGAAGAAGTAAAGCCATTCTGCTTCTGGCTCAAGTTAGAGAGTATAATTGTGCCTTTCAAAGTAGATCCTAACAGTAATATGATTTTAACACCGCTCAATTATTTTTCTACAAACATATTTAATCTTATATTTTATAAATATATATACACATATTAATTATTTATTAATTACATTATCTTATATATTAATTATGTTGATAAAAGATATATTATTAACAATTTTATTCCTTCAAATTAAAATATATTATAAAATTTATCTTTTATGCAATTATCATATTAACTTATGTCTTTTTTAGTAATTTGTACATATAAAAAGTGTTTCTGATAACAACTATCTAATCATTCTTACTATATTAGAATCACTTTTTCACAATATCTATTCTTCAGAAACTATTCTCCAAATCATGGTTTGGTTTAACCATCATCCTGAATTCACTGATGTCTGAGTGTTTCTCTCTAGTTCCAGTTACTTTTCTGTTCCTGTATTTTTTTCGGCCAAACTTTTTCTTGTCCGCAGTGACCTTACTGTCGACATCATTAATATTTCCATTGAAGTATTCTTCGGCAGCTAATTGTTGCCGCTTCCGAATTTCACGTTTCCTCGGCATCTCTTCCAACGCATACCAACATCAATATTAAAATTTCAATTTTCATACAAATTTAGTGCGGGAGAAGTTGGAAGACTTAGATAAGTTATAACAACTAGACAATCTTAATGATAAACCCATCCATATGGTTAAAGTCAATACAACAAGAGGAAGAAAGCTGTGATGTAGAATAGTATTCTCCCATAGCTTGAGAGAAGAATGATACTAATAATTTACCCCAATACAGCACAGACCATGAGAGATTTACATTATTCTTCCTTCGATAAACAAATAATACGTTCAGTTCGATTCAATTTGATTTGATACCTTTTCGAACCTGAAGAGAGTATAAATACACGCACTCCGCTAACTCAAATATGGCAGCAAAACGTAAGCACACCCCACCAAAGCTTACTTGAGAAAAAGAATTAATAAACAGACGGACCCATGGAGCATAATGACAATACTGCAAATACTAATACACTATTTATGATTCGTCATGGCCTGGTTCCTCGTCGGCCATTTGCTCATTTTCTTGTATCATGTTCATGAGCATGTTAACTTGTTCTTGGAGCATGGCATTTTCCCTCTCAATTCGAGCACGTTTGCTCTTCTCTTCCAGTAGCTGGACTTGCAGATGCTCCAAACATCTTGCATCCTCCTCCAATTGCTCGTTCAACCCGTCAATTTCCCGGTCCTGTGACCAACAATAACCCAAACATCTCAGCTTTTCATTGTTTATTATTGATAAGATGTTTGAAAGTTTAGAAGGTGAGGATGAACATGTGGCACCTTTCTGTTCATTTCTTGGATGGCGATCCTACGCATGCTTTCTACAACGTCAACATTGACAAGCTTTCGCTTCTTCCCAATCAGCCATCCCTTTGGATAGTTTGCAGATTCAAAGTCAGGGGGAGGAAGTAAAGATTCAGCCGATGGCCGTCGGCCATTAATGTTCTTTATAGGTTCTAATGGTTCAAATAATGCCTTTCGACGCTCAGAAAGCTCAGGAAAAGGAACTGCAGTTGAGTCCTGCATCATCTCCTCAGCAGGAGGAGGTTCTTCCTGTTTGCTTGGTGGTTTATTAGCACTTGCAGTATCGTTTGATACCTCTAAATTCTTCCCGCTAGCTGTGGGCAACAAGTTACCATTCTATTTCCAACTAATCTAACCATACCATATTTGCACAACTAAAGCAAAATTACCCATGAATGAAACAGAACAAAACAGGAAAAGCATTTAGCAATAGGAGTGCAAGCCGCTTAGAAGAGGGTTATGTTCCTCTATCACTCAAGTTTGGTTCCTTGGAAAATTAAGAAAAATTTTCCATCAATTTCAACATTACTTAAAATTTTCATGGAAAATTTCTATTTAAAAAGTTTTTAAGCAAATTATATCACTTGCGCCTAAAGAAATATTATAAAAACTGTTCTAACGAAAACTGTTGTAAAGAAACAAACAATAGTAATTCTTTTTCGATGAGCGAAGTCTTGAAGAAAAATTTTCCCAAGAAGCAAAAATAGTCCAAGATCCAAACCTTTATTCTAGTATTAAGGTTCAGACACCAATACATTTGAAGCCAGATGCTTGAACTCATACAAGGTTCACGAGGTGAAAAATATATATGAAATGCTCATAGTGTTTTTCATCAAACCCTGAATCTCTCAACAACATGAATAATGATACTTTTTCTTTCTCAAATGAGGGACGAGCCCTGCCAAAATGAACCTTCCTCCTGATAGAAATGGAATTAATGAAGGCCATAGATGCATTCATTTACATTCTTATACCAATTACCAAAAGTTTCTGGTTCTTTTAATAAACCCATAAAAACCTATAGAAGATTATACATAAATTTAAGCTTTTGCAGCTAAATACAATGTCCACCCTCTATCTTCCAGAGACAACTTAACTACAGTTTCTAATTATATTTTTTTCAGGTTTTCACAAGAAATTGTGAAGTGCAGAATTTTAACATCTCAACAACACATGATTCAGTCTTCTAAGAAAATTCATTCATTTTATATTTTGGGTTAATACAATGATTAGTCCTTACACTTTTCATTCATTTTGGTTTTGGTCCCTGAAATTTGGAACCTCCAGTTTTGGTCCTTTAAGTTTGCTCCGTTTAAAACGTTAGTCCTTATATTTTTAAAAGGACTTGGTGTCACCTTTAACACTGTTAAATATGATGACATGTCCCTAACTCTGTTAAATATGCTCATATGGAACCAAGTGGACGAGCGAGGTGGCTTATAAAAGATTAAAAAAAATTTGACAATTAAAAAAATGGTAGAGAAAGGAACAGGCGGTAAAATGTAATACCCAAGTCGAAGGCCAAAACCATTCTTTGCAATAGAAAAAAGAAAAGGAGAGGGTTAGGTCAAAAGCGGTCCCACTTGGTAGTCGTCGGAGTTGAGCTGGCCGACGCCGGAGGTGGGGAACTGACCGATCAAGGTGCGACGACAGTGAAGGAGCAATTGCATTTGACAAAAAAAAAAAAGTAAGCTCATCTCAGATAATCACCACGCTATCACAAAGGAAACTGTTATATTCTTGAACTGACCGAAGGTCAATGTTGTCATCGAAGGTCGCTTTTGTCGTCGACATTGAGAGCTAGGGCAAAGCAAAACGAGGTGGGGCGCATGTGAAGTCTGAGAAGAGGACAGAGCAGAGAAGACCAAAGATCAGTTCTCGAATATGTATTCAAGAAGACTAGTTCTCAAATACGTATTCGAGAAGACCATTTCTCTAATATATATTCAAGAATATAGTTGAAAATAAGCTTTGAATTAGAATGCGTGGTGATTGTCTGAGATGAGCTTACTTTTTTTTTTGCTGTCAAATGCGATTCCTCCTTCACTGTCGTCGCACCTTGATCGGTCAGTTCCCCACCTCCGGCGACGGCCAGCTCAACTTCGGCGACTACCAAGTGGGACCGCTTTTGACCTAACCCTCTCCTTTTCTTTTTTCTATTGCAAAGAATGGTTTTGGCCTTCGACTTAGGTATTACATTTTACTACCTGTTCCTTTCTCTACCATTTTTTTAATTGTCAAATTTTTTTAATCTTTTATAAGCCACCTCAGCTCGTCCACTTGGTTCCATATGAGCATATTTAACAGAGTTAGAGACATGTCAGCATATTTAATAGTGTTAAAGGTGACACCAAGTCCTTTTAAAAATATAAGGACTAACGTTTTAAACGGAGCAAACTTAAAGGACCAAAACTGGAGGTTCCAAACTTCAGGGACCAAAACCAAAATGAATGAAAAGTGTAAGGACTAATCATTGTATTAACCCTTATATTTTTAATAAAAATTGGTGACAAAAAAACTTAAAAATTTCATTGCAAGCATGAAGCCTGCCTTTTTTCAGACCAATGGCACCTAAAAATATTTGACCATGTAGGCCCCATCCATTATATGTACCCAACAAGGATCTTGTTTTAGCTTGACGAAACTGAAAAGACTTCGTTTTCTTGAGTGCATAAAGACTTTAGTTTTACACAGGTGAGGCGAAGCCTACCAATAGCATATAAGTGCTTCAAACTTGATTAAGTAAGGATTAAAAGACAATGGAGGCGTAACAAACAAATTTTTCCTCAGGTGTGCTCAAAACTGATGTTGCCACAATATGCCAACAAATTTTTTTAATGAAAAAACTATTTTTAAACAATAAGAGCCATCACTAACTATGAAGGCATCAAAATTGAGTTATACAAGAATCGTAACCAAAGAGACAGAGGGTGCATGCGGCACATACACACTTTTTAAATTCCAGAACGATACAAATCTAAATTATTTGGTCTCTGAATATGATATATAGGATAATGACTCGCACAGGCACTAAAAAGTAACAAGTATAAAAAAGCTTTCAAAGTCATATCGTATCGAAGATTAAGGATGAGATTTGGAACCGAACGACACATTTTCATTTTGGGAATAAAATCAAATATATGATGGGAAAAAAATTAGTATCTTTCGCAAAATTCAAGGGATATCGTTACTATGGGAGTGGCGCTAGTAACTTTGAAGGGCTACAGCGAAGTAATTAATTATTAATTAATTTAGTAATTTTGTTATTTCTTCCTCAGTTCATACAATAAACTGAGGTTTTTATAATAATTTACATTTACATATTATAATGAGAAAGACTCAAGAGTTGGGTAAGCCAATTATAACAAACAGTAAACGTGACCTAAAAGTCATACCAACTGACCACTGTTAAACACCGTTACAATTTTCTCTGTCTTTCTCAGTTTGTCCCTCAGACCTCCCGGAAAAAAGATCAATGCGTCTATCGTGAACAATTTTGCGGGAATTTAACAAATCAAACCCAGAAATTAACAGAACGAAAATGTAGAGATTCCTTATGTGAAATCGAAAAATTAGTACTTGCGAAAAGATTTGGTAATAATGATGCTCAGAATAGGATTCAGCTGCAAGATGCGCTCGAAAACCCCAGAATCATTCAATCACACATACGAACAACTTAGAAACTACACGTTTCGAGTACGGATTTGTAAATCTAATCAAGGATGGAACTGTAATTAGAAAAATATTTAAACTCAAAATTGACAAGTTAAAGGGGGGAAAAAACTTGTAATACCTGATCTCCTTCGAGATTTCCAGCCAATCCTTGTGGAAGTAACAGGGGAGAATCCATTCAAAGCCGCATCGGCGGCCGTCATCCTCTCTCCGTCACGAATTTCCATTGAAGCATACAAAACCACAGAGAGAGAGAGAGAGAGAGAGAGAGAGAGAGGGGCAGAGACTTCAAATTACAGTCAAACTTCAGGACATCGAGTTTCACAGAGAAAGAGAACGAAGGATTCTTCTTCCTATGCGATGATTATGATGATATGATCTTGGCTTTCTTCTTCTGATTCTGATTTCTAATTCTGAGAAGTGGTGTGTCTCTTCGCGTGAAAACTACAAGAGAGGAGCAGACAAATGCAACGGGACCGTGCGACGGAAATTTAAACGGTCAAGATTTTGCCCCCGGGGGGGCGGGGGGAATTTTATGCCGAAGACTTGTCCTTTTTTTATTTATCTTCGTTGATTCTATCTAAATTCTGCAATTTTTTATTTGTCTGTTACTGCTTGGTAATAAACACTTGGACCCACCATATAATTGATAATAAATATTTTCAGAATAATCTAGAATTAGTTTTTAGTTTTGATAGAATAATAATATTAAGGAAAGATTCATTTTTTCATTCCATATGCTCTCAGAAGATATAAAATACTACTTCCGGTCTTTAATATAAAAATTAGTTGACTAATTTCAGTATGGAAACTAATTAAGCTAGTTATTTATAATAAATAAGTGTTGTCTTTCTAAAAATATCTTTGCTAATCAAGTATATTGGTGAGAACTACCATCATTATAAGGACTACCTTGAGAAAAAAATAGATAAATATGATAAACAAAATAGATTAGGGTCTTATATTTAGGATCAAGATAAAAATCAAACAAACTTTTATATTAAGGACCGGAGGTAGTATTAAAGAATGAATTATACTCACCAAATACATGAAATGAAGTGCCTCTAGAGAGAGAAATCCGTGAGAGAGAAGCTCTCTTCTCACTTCTAATAAGAAGAGTTTTCGCCATAGTATTTAAAACCGGACCAGTCAGGTTGGATCGGAAACTGGTGACATAGCCAAGTGTCCGGTCCGGTCAAGCTTTTAAGCCAAAAAACAACCAACTCAGGATCACCCGGCGTAACCTAGGTAAACTGCTGATTTGCACGGGTTACACAGTTCTTTTTTCTGCTGCTTCCAGATACTAAAATATACCAAAGATGCCATCAGAAGAAAAAATAGACCGAAAAAATAAAGAAATAGATCTTGAAGAAAGAAGAGGGAAGAAGGTAGAGAAACATGAAAAAAGAACTAAGAGGGAAAAAAAAAACTCAATCAAACATTCTCCATTGTTAGACTGGCTTGTCATCCTTAGCCATCTTTAAGTCATTCTTCATCTTAGTTGAACGCCAGCCATCATCGAACTTCTCTCTGATTCTTCTTCCTAAAAACAGATGGTAGTACTAGAAGTCTGTAATAGGTGCTCTAGTGTGAGGACTTTAATCGACAATGCTTTGCATCAAAAGTGAATATATCATAGCCATTCATTTGAAAGAGAGATCCAAACCGTTAGGTGTCAGTATCACACTACCCGTTTTTTTTTTTTTTTTTGCCAAACACTATCATGTTACTATTACATCCTGCTGTCTCACGCTTTCCAACATAAACTTATTTTCCACTGACACACGTTTTTGCTTTTCAAGATCTAAAACCATTTCTGAAACAGGAAGCCTATTATAATTTGTAACTAGAGTATCAAACAATTAATCGCATCTGTCAATTATTTTTTTTTAGAGAAAAAGACAAAAAAATGCCACTTGAACTTCATAATCCCCAAATGGTCTGTTGAATTTGAGAAATCCCAATTTGGTCTCAAGAGACCAAATTGGGATTATCATGTTGAAAAAGACCAAATTGCCCTTCATTCATTTATTGTTTTAAATATACCAAAGGCCCTACTGGCCAACCGGTCACCGGAGCTTCGGCAGCGGCAGTCACCAGAGCTCCGGTGACTAGCCGACAATTGGTCACCAGAGCTTCGATGGTCAGAAATAATTTTTTTGAAAATTTTTACAACTTCAGTATAATAGTTAACAACATTTGTAACGCTATTAACAACTTCAGTATAACAATTAACAATAGGTTTTCTGGAAAATTCAACAAGCTCTGGCGGCAAGAAACAATTTTTTTGAAAATTTTTACAACTTCAGTATAATGGTTAACAACTTTTGTGATGCTATTAACAACTTCAGTATAGCAGTTAACAACAAATTTTCTGATAAATTCAACAAGCTTCGATGGCCGGAAACAATTTTTTTGAAAATTTTTATAACTTCAGTATAACAGTTAACAACTTTTGTAACACTATTAACAACTTCAGTATAGCAATTAACAACAGCTTTTCAGAAAATTCAACAATTGGTCGCCGGAGGTCCGGTAGCCGGAAACAATTTTTTAAAAATTTTTTTACAATTTCCGTATAACAGTTAGCAACTTCTATAACGCTATTAACAACTTCAGTATAGCAGTTAACAATAAGTTTTCAATAAAAATGCTACTTTTTGAATTTTTCAGAAAACTTATTGTTAACTACTATATTGAGGTTGTTAATAACATTATAAAATTTGTTAACCGTTATACTGAAGTTGTAAATTTTTTTTTTTTTTAAAAAGTAATTGCTAAAGTTGTAAAAATGCTATTTTTTTGAAGTTTTAAGAAAACATGTTGTTAAATGCTATACGGAAGTTGTTAATAGAGTTACAGAACTTGTTAATGGCATTATTGAAGTTGCAAAAATGCTACTTTTTGAATTTCTCGAAAAACCTGTTGTTAATAGCTTTACAAAAGTTGTTAATCGTTATACCGACGTTGTAAAAATTTTCAAAAAAATTGTTTCCGGTCGTCGAAGCTCCGGCGACCAATTGTTGAATTTTCTGAAAAACCTGTTATTAATTGTTATACTGAAATTGTTAACAGCGTCACAAAGGTTGTTAACCGTTATACTGAAGTTGTAAAAATTTTCAAAAAATTTATTTTCGGCCACCAAAGCTTGTTGAATTTTCCAGAAAACCTGTTGTTAACTACTATAATGAAGTTGTTAATAGCGTCACAAAAGTTGTTAACCGTTATACTGAAGTTGTAAAAATTTTCAAAAAAATTATTTCCAGCCACTAGAGCTTGTTCAATTTCTCAGAAAACCTGTTGTTAACTGCTATACTGAAGTTGTTAATAGCGTTATAAAAGTTGTTAACCGTTATACTGAAGTTGTAAAAATTTTTTAAAAAATTGTTTCCAGCTGCCGGAACTTGTTGAATTTCCCAGAAAACCAGTTGCTAATTGCTATACTGAAGTTGTTAATAGTGCTACAAATGTTGTTAACTGTTATACTGAAATTGTAAAAATTTTCAAAAAAATTATTTCCGACCGCCGGAGCTTCAGTGACCAATTGTCGGCCGGTGGCCGAAGGTTCAATGACTGCCGCTGCCGGAACTCCGGTGACCGGCCGGCTACTAGAGGCTTTGGTATTTTAAAAACAATAAATGAATGAATGACAGTTTGATCTTTTCCTTTAACATGATAATCCTAATTTGGTCTCTTGAGACCAAATTGGGATTTCTCAAATTCAGCAGACCATTTGGGGATTATGAAGTTCAAGTGGCATTTTTCTGTCTTTTTTCCTTTTTTTTAAACCACCATCTCTCAATCATATTTATTATCCTATATAATTATATATAAATATATGTAATATGAAGTCCAAGCCCTTTGATTCTTTTATTAATTATTATAATATCAGATGTGTATATATGTATATTACTTTTGTTGCTTATTATTAAATTTTTTAATTAAAATATAAATATTTTCATACATTTTAATTAAAGTATATTATTTTATTTCTCACCAGTTTGACTCCCGGTTTGACTCCGATATGACCCATTGACCCTTGACCCACTGTCTTAGCTGGTTTAATTGCCGGTCTGGTTTTTAGTATCTTGGTTTTAACCGACTCATCTTTCTCTTCTGCTATCCTTTACAGTTTTTCCTCCTTTACCATTTATTGATTCGTAGTCCCTAGGTGCCTTCCCCCCCCTTTTGTTTCTACTAGTTATAGCTCCTAGAAAATTTGTCTTTTGCTTCTCCATTCCTTCACGCTTGTTTAAGCTACTCATCACTCCTAATCTCTTCCGGTTCTATTTTTTGCCTATCAATAACCTTTATCATTATTTCTTGTTCTCCAATCTCATCATTAATTAGGTATTTATAGCCTTATTACAACCCGTTGATTGGTTCTTGACCTTGCTCACCTATCATTGTCCACTGTATTTCCAGCCGTGCTAGCTATTTCCTCTTCGATATGCTAAATCTAAATCTGATTCGTCCTTCTCTTTGTGTTGATTTGCTTTCTATGGTTTGCTTCTTGCCTCTCTAAATTCTTCACACTGGTTCCTATATAAATACCACTTCGTTTATGGCGTTCTCTTCATCCCTCTCATCCTCTGATGTTCTTTTTCTCTGCTCAATTTGACTGCCTGTCTTGTCCTCCCATTCCACCTTTCTTTGCTTGTCTTTATTAGCTTTGGTCTTATTCTAGTCTTTTCCCACCTCTTGATAGTATGTGAAACATCTGTCACTTTACCTCATTTAGTATATATTTAGAAGCATTACAATTCAGGCAAATCATAAATTAAGCTCATAAATTGAAAACTTACATTTTATTCTTTGTTGCTATTCATTTAGTAATTTTAGATTTTTGGTCCAAATTTAAAAATTCGTAACTAATTATAAAAATATTGTATTGAGGTAATTCAAATATCTACTTAAAGCTAGTTTAATTCTATATAGGAAAAAGATACTCATTGGGTTATTTACTTACTCATTTAATACAGAAAAATATGTGAAGATGTACTATTCATTTCATCAAGCAGTACTTTATAGTTTTTTTGCCCTAAATTTGAGTAATCATAACTTCTAGCGCACACATCTATTTTAGGTTATTTACTACTCTTTTTCAAGTTTGAGATATGATTAGTTTTTCAAGGCCAAAATCATTCGTTTGCATCATTTTTACTCTTTCTCGAACTCATGGCTTTATGTTAAAATATTTATCCTCTCATTTGAAGTTAACAATTCATAATCATTTCATTTCATATGTGCGACTATTCCAACATTTAATAAATCATTCGCATACATCATCATACTTAATTTTACATGCCAATATCATCATTTATTATTAAATAACATTAGTAGGCATGGTCTTGAATATATTAGCATAAGGGATTACATAACATAACATAATACATCTCCCAAATACTTCTTTCTTTTAACCCTCATCTTGCATTCCTCTTTCATAAGAATAATATCTATTATGGTTGTTTAAGAAAAGGTGAGATTGGAGAGAATCTCAGTAGCGAACAATTAGTACCCAAACAAACAAGATATAGCTTGGCATTCATAACATACTTATAAACTCCACGCCTTTATAACATAATGACATGTTAGGAAACTATCATGCATTAAACACAAATCATATAGGCCCATGACATACTTTAAATATATTCACATTCGCAATGCATGAGTTCATAAGAATCACATAAACATGACAAACATGTCATACATGGAAACAATTACCAAGCACATAAGAGTAGGATAAAATTTGCTACCTTCAACTTGTCACATTCTTTCTCTTGCTCCCTTTGCAGCCAACCTTTGAAGTTGCTTGATTAACATTTTCATTTCTCTTCCTTGATGTCTCCTGGCCCTAAATACATTAACACATCATTGCTATTGGTAACATCCCGAATTTTAGGCCTAGAAGTGCAAGAAATAGCTCAAAATGGGCAGGCTTGGATGGGACATAGAGGATTGGATCCAAAGTCTTGATGGTTTTATCATTGTTCACTTCCTCTAGATAGTTAGGGATCCTCGTAGCACTGACGTAGGATTATTTTGGTACAGTTAAATATGGTAGGTAGACTGGTGATGCTTGGTTGATTATGTATGACTTAGCCAGCATGTATATATTAAACTTTGCTACTTTTGGGGTGATGTATGGATATTTTATGATGTATGCCCATTTTGATGATTGAAATCCCAGCATGATATTTAATTCTTGTGCCTTTATTATGTATTCTAGTTAGATATCGTAATGGTTAGAACTAGAAGAAACACTTCACCGGAGAGACCCTTAAAAAACGATGGAAGTGTCTCTCCAGATCTGTTACAAGTGATCTTAAATCGCTTGGAGCAGTAGTGGAAGACCATTAAGGATATGAGGACAACACAAGCTCGCCAAGAGCAAGAGAGGGATGCCTTGATTGCTGCAGCAATGGCTAACCTCAACTTGAGGCAGGCATAAGAAGAAGTATCAACAGTTCAAGAATCAAAACAACTATCTAGACTAGAAGACCCTGATAGCATCTAACAGTGGATGACTCGCTTTTGTAAGCACAACCCGCCATCTTTTGATGGAGTGTTTGATGTTTAGGCGGCAGAGGACTGGATTAACCACCTGGAAAAGATTTTCAAAGTATTAGACTATCTAACTGAACGAAAAGCCCAAATAGCGATCTATAAGAATGAGAAGGATGCCGACCGCTGGTGGAAGAACATTGAGCTAATTCTAGAAGCTTGTAACACTAGGGTAACATGGGAAGTATTTCTGGAGCAGTTTTATGAGAAGTACTTCCCAAGGTCAGTCAGAGATGAGAGGGAAGCAGAATTCCTGACCCTCAAGGAGAAAGACAATGAATCGTTCAACGAGTACCTAGCAAAGTTCATTCACTTCTCTCATTACTCCACCTATCTTTGCTACTAGGAGGATGAGAGGTGGATGACCAAGAAGATGGTCAAAGGACTGAAGTAGTCTCTAAGGGAGATGATTGCCTCAGCCAATTTGAATAGTTCAACAAGGCAGTGGAGGTTTGCCGAATCACTAAGAATAGTCTAATCCATTATGTGATGGTCAAGCCTACTCTTAAGCTAGAGAAGGGAGATCAGGGTGGTGCCTCTTCCATTGCTAATAAGAGAAAGAGATAATGGGATAACAAGAAGGGCAAGAAGGGAGGCAACCCACAGAAGGGCAAGGAGCATGCAACTTACGGTAGGAATCAAGGTGACAGACCGTGTATAGCGAGACATAACATTGCTTTACCTGCGACAAGCCCATACACTTTTCCAAAGAATGTCTGTAGAATGCTGAGAAGTCAAGGCCGCGAAATCAAGGACTAGTTTTTGCCCTTACACGGGAAGAAGCTCGAAAATCGCCAGAAATGATCCAAGGTATGATCATTATTAATAACTCCCTAGTGATTACAATGTTTGATTCAGGTGCTAGTTATTCTTTTATCCTGTATGTTTGTGTTAAACGACTTAGCTTAGTTATCAGTACACTACCTTATGACATACATGTGTCCATACCAACACACTCTAGGGTAGTCACATTCGATGTGTGCTTAAACTGCATAGTTCGATATGAACACTGTTGCACTACCTTAGATTTGATATGCATGCCCTTCCATGAAATTGATGTGATAATCAGGTTAAATTGGTTGTCGTCCCATAACATCCAATTGGGTTGTAAGAACAAAACCCTGAT